CCCTTAACATATGAAAATACTATAAATTAAGAAGAGCACTTGAGCTGGGACACCCCTGAAAGCCTTGAATTGGATTTAGAAACAAATCTCAGAAAAGGGTATTTTCTAGGCGTAAGCATGGGGCATTACCAAGGCACAGTACATTGCACAAAAATAGCCCATACACAGGATGTTGCTGTATTAGGAAGGCATCCTCAAGAAGTACAATGCTCTGCTTCAAATGAGTCATTTCTGAAAAGGATTTTTAGGGCAACACGCTAGATGGAAGCACTCTCCTGAAAGAAGGTACCTCTCCTTGTTTGTACATCAGAGTGAGCACCGTGCAGCAACCGACTCAACTAACGACAGAGAGATTTTGTCAAAAACATCACCAGTTTTGGATCTTCCAATCTTTATATGTCAGGTTACTATGAATTTTTATCTTTGCATGGCTTTTCTATTTTTCTACTTGTCGAATCATCAGGGAAGAACACTTTCCACCAGAAAAACAAAGGAACAAACAAGCCAAGGCCACCGGACCCAAGACAAGGCTACGAGGAGGAACAAGAACTGGAGAGATGGCCCAAGGCACTCCAGACCACTCTGAGTTGGACTGAGCTTCCAGCTGAGCAGACAGCAATAATGCAGCAAAAGAGAGACAGCTTGTGACATGAACAGAGATGTGTCACTTGGTTGGGCTCCTTCCTCTCCGTAGCTGGTCTTCATCTACTGTTTGTGCCCATTTTTCTGCACTCTCTTGAATACAAGCACAGAGGGTGTGTCTTTCTAGGAACGCCTTTGTTTCCCAAAAGCAGCATAAAAAGAAGCAAGTACAAAGCTCATATAGATTCTAGTGGCACAGAACCCATACGACAATTGATTTTCCAGCTCCACAGAGGTAGAGATATTCCCCGTTCCCTGACCTCTAGAGTTTTCATATGAAGACCATTCTTTATTTCTGACATCCAGAGCCATTGAAGTCCTCAGTAAGTAATTTCTATCTCTGTATTTTACTTTCCTTGCCACAAACAAAAGATGATTCATATTTTTAAAAATAATTTGGGATGGTGTCTATGAAAAACAAAGAAGGATTCTTGCCAAAATGGTATGCTAACTTGGACAGTTACTGCATGCAGTCCTGCCATGTAACCTGGCTCAAAATCAGCAATGCTCAAGCTTAAATTAATTCAGTCTACAGATCCGTTCATGTGGGTAGTGCTTACAATAGGGGCAACCTCTAGTTTTAGAGTCTGTGTTGATATCACAGAGAACATAACTTCTGGAAACAAACATTATCCATCATCATCCACTCCAGTCCCAACACAAAAAGGTGCAAAGAATGAGCTGATAAAAAACCTATTACTATGACACATTAGACACTAAAGGTTAGCTTTTAATTAAAAATTCCTAATACTGATAGAGATCAGAAAGAAAGCCATAAGAAAATGGGAAAGAATATTTCCCATGCAAAATATGCCTGTGGAATTAAGCATTGATATGGATCCAAAGTGCAGGACTGTCTGAAGAACACGAACTTCTTTCATGGAAGAGTTCAGTAATTTGGCAACTAAAATTGTAGCCAGCAAAGATGAACTCATCTGCATAACTAATAAATACAGAAAGTGGACTCAACAACACAGAAACAGAGCAAGGCTGAGACATGGCCCTACTTTCCAACAGCTCTCTTCAGACAGGTCATTGCCTCTACTGACAGAAGCTTAACCTCAGCTACTCACATGTGCTCCTTCACCTGATAAACACGGATGAAACCCTTGCCCTGCTGAAATCAACAGCAACCCTGCCACTGAGTTCCCCTGGTCATTTTTCAAGTCACAGCGTTAGTATTGGTTATGGGCGAATCGATTGCCTGAGATGATAAAATAGATTAGTTTTATGGCACACTACAACTCTGTTAGTGATGCCTTTCACAAAGGTACGCATCTGTCTGTATGAGGACCACCTGGTACCACAAGGCACTACTTACTACACAAATTTTTCTGTAGACAGGGACTGTATTTCTAAATATCACTGTATACATATGTAATAAAAGCACAGTTCTTGATGCTATGAGCAATTTTATGGTAAACAGTTTGTGGCTTTTATCATTCTGCACAAGGATGAGACTCTTTCTGCTTGTACAAAACTTTATAAACAATACTAAGACTGAATTGGTAATGGGATTGCATAGCTCTGAGGTTCATTTCCCTCATGTTTTTGATTTCTAGGGAGGAATTTTTCAGATGTTAATAAAGTGTTGCCATGAAAGATAGCTTTCTCTGAGTATCAGCAAGACACTTATGTCTTCAAGAAAACATTTTTTTTTAACTATAGACAATATTATAACTGCAGAGAAGGGATCGGAAAGGAAGAGAAGAAAAAGAGGAGTGAGAACTAATTAATATAACCTAACAAAGCAGCAGACACTGCTGCCCACACCACTTCTGCTTGGACTAATGCACCGAATTAGACCAGCCCTTCATACAGCCTTCAAGATAGTCACCTTAAAATGCTTCTAAAGAACGAATACTCTGAAATATTTTTATACATGCTCATATTACTAATGGAAATATGATTGCTATTATTACAGCCACATTTCATGACTTTTCATTCCTGTTTCATGTGTAAATTTTGCAGGCTGATGTTGACAGTGGAGTAAGTTGTTACAGCAGGTCATAATCTGTCAGAAACTTTTAGAATATGACTTTTCAATTAAATTAAGGAATCTTTTTACTGTGGAAAATGTATAGTTTTACCTTATCCACTTTTTTTGGCTTTTTTGGTGATAAATACACATTTAGGGAAACTGCTGTGGAAAAGCCTGGATGGAGTGTTCACAGATGTAGTAACATTTGAGCTCATATTTAGGAGCTGCACCAGGCACTGTGGGGGAAGCTCACAGAGACGAGGGGTTCATTAGCAATACCACAGTAGCAAAAGGACCCACCTCTGATGGCCTGATTTCCCTCTGCCACAGGTGATGAATCTCTTGTGTGAGTTTTGATGCACAAGGTTAAGCTCCAGCACAGCCACTCTTGTGTTCACAAAAATTATCACTGAATGTGCACAGCTGCTGTCAAAACGTGCAGGAAAAGATTGGAATAAATGTTTATTTCAGTAAAAACAATAGCCAAGGATTGCGGCTTCTACAGAACTCAGTCCCGCCCTTTCACCAAGGGGGCCTCTATCACCTTCTCTAAAATCTGCCATGTCAAAATTGTAACTACTATTAAGTGAGGTGTTAGCATTCTCAAGGTAGTTTAAGAACCCCTTCATGTCATGATGGGCAATGCATCAGAATTAATTAGTATGAAAGCTGGTGAGGATAAAATGATGGCTAAAACATCAGAAAAAATTAGACTGAAAGGCAGTGAAAAGCCCAATAGCCATAAGCTCTCTCTGTGACTGAGCTAGAGGAACACTTGAATAAATGGAGACCGACACAGTAAACAATTCCTTTACAAAAGACTTTCAAAAATGCATACTACAATATTTCAAGCTGAAAAAAAAAAGTCTAACATGCTTGCATGCAACTCATTTCAGCAAAGTCTATTGTGTCCAAAATTCTCAGGCGAAAGCCCACTTCAAATATTTCAGTGAGTACACACTTGTACAGAGCAACACAAGCTTGAATCGCCTTTTAGTTATGGTACAGAGGAGACTTCCAAAATACACAGAGCCATTTGTTGTCAACTGCTTCAAAAGGTATGTTCATAAAGAATGTTATAGGTTAGGCACTTTCAGTATGTGGAATGTCACCTGGAAGAAATGTCATCAGAGCTGTCACTGATGTGGTGTGGAGAAAAAAAATCAATCGATGTATGCCTTGGCAGGGTTTACAAACACTCAGTTGGTAACCTCAAAACTCAAGGCAGGACAGTCTGAACAAACACAGCAGGAGTCATCAGACTTGTTCCTCAGCTCTACTCACACATAATATCACACTATTCCTTTCAAAACATCACAAAACAGTACAGTATTTAGCAGAAGCTGATGCTCCTTTGCCAGGAGTAACTCTCATACTGCTCCTTTAACACACAATTTCGGGAATAAATAAAAAGCAATGCCATCGGCCCCACCCCAGATAGGACCAATTTATCAAGCCCTGCAGTGGTGGACAAATTTTGATCTTCTGTGGTGATACAGCACTCACACCCTGAAGGATGAGCTCTACTGTCATCTACTGCTGAAGAGCAGTGCCAAATGGTTGGCCATGCCTTGATAGGGAAAATAAAATTTTGCAAAGACGCAACTAGAGAAGGAAACTTGATGCTTTTCAGTTTCAAACACTACATCGAAGTATTAAACACCTGATGGCAAAGTGTGGTCTAATCTTTGCCTTAGCATTTAAACATATAGTTGAGAGAATCAATGTCTGACTTGCCATAGTAGAGAAGGACGAAAAGGTCAGATTTTTTCTCAAGAAGCTACTTTTACAATTACTGATGCAGCAATTCTGAAACTTTGCATTGATGTACGAAATTCCACATTATTAAAAATACCCAGATACAGGTTCTACCACACAAGTTTAGTGTACTTGAGAAATAAGTAAATTTTTGTTTTCTAAAAACATTCGAGTTCAAAAAGCATAGTGAGATTTCTTGAATAAGCATTCTAAACAAAACTTTTTCATCACAAATTCTAGTTTGTTATTTGTCAAAAATTATTTGTCAAAATCAGAATTTCTGTTTCATGGAAGAGTCTCTTTTGAATAAATTTTCTCATGACCAGGGTGACATTGCTCTGGGAAAGGTACCTTATCACCAAAAACAGCCGATCCCCACAGTTAGCCTAGGATGTAGGACAAAAGTTCAAATCTCCACTGTTTCAAACTGGTCAGGATTCAAGTATGACTCAAGGAATCAAGGAAGGAAAGCTGTGATTTTTGCTTGCAAACAACGTTTCTTAATCACTTCTGAGGGAATCATCTCTAAGTGTACGCAGTCATGCACAGGCATGACACAGGGCAACCTGTGTCTTACACTTCTGTTTATACAAGAAAGTGTTTGCATTACTTTACTCACCATTCCATGATTTAGCCACGCTGGTATAAAATTATCAAGCAGCTTTGGGTAAATCAGTTCCCTGTCATAGATATAGATGCTCCAAAACATCGTCACAACAAACTAAGAAGAAAAAAAAGAAAAGACAAGACATTTAAAAATATATGCTTCTGAACAATTAGTTAGACATTTTAGATAGCAAAATGGGGCATTTAGTGAATGATCTATGGACAGATACAGACATTATTGTTCTTTGACCAAATCCTGCTTTAATCAACAGTGTCAAACTGGATTATTATTTGCATTTACAGGAGTTTCAACTTTTCTTACTTTTTATTTTTTTTACTTTCAGCCTGGAAAAAAATCTTACTTTTTGACTTACATGCCTCTGGCTAAATTACAACTGAGTACTACACTCTAGTAGCAAATGTGGCACATAAATAATGTTTCACCACTAACAGGATCAAAACCAATTGGAAAATCAGGTAAAATATCACTTGAAATTCATGACACATTCAGCCTTGAACAGAAGCCTATAAACTCATCTTTGCAGTTTTGGTATCAGCCATCAAAATAGTATTGTTCAGAAGAAAATACTTAACCTTTTAACTACTCTGCACACACTTCATGGACTGAGATCCATACAAAAAAGGTCTAGTATCCTGCTCGTTTGTCAGTATGAAAGCTGGCTTGGTTCTTGTCATAGACTGTTTACCAGAAGCCCAGAAAAGCCCACTACTTCCTCTAAACTGAGGACAGGACAGGTGGCTGAGATAAAGTTTGAACTAGGCTACATTTTTGCCAAAGTGTGCACAAATTCTTTAAAGATACCCTGAGGACTAAAAAACAAAGACAATATAAAACTGCAAAAAATTATAGGAATAATAGTTTTAGCTTAGCTTAGCTGGAGAAAGAAGAAAGTAAGTAATCTTCTGATTAAAATACAATTGCTTTTTTATCTTGCATTTGAGTCACAGTTTTCTAGCAGTACAAGTCATTATTTACAACAGTGAAATCCAACACTTGGGCCAGGAGCCTTTCAGCGACCATTTTCAGGGCATCTCTCACCGTAGCAACAAGTCCAAGCTTGAAGTTTGAGAGGCAACAGACTGGACTTGCACTGAGATCAGCAGGGAAGCATTCAGTTACATCCAAACCGATGTGGCCTATGATCTTACATTTGCAAGGTCAGTAAAAGAAAGTGCAAGAAATATGGGGTGAGCACAGCAAGGTCAGTAAATTACTAGTGTGTGTGATAGAGTAGGCGTAAGTTCTTTTAAATGCTTCTGACTTTAGAAAGTTAAAAATGAGGTTGCAGTTTATCAATGATACCTTGTTCTAACCACAGACACACAGACTTTGGCCAGCGAGTTATGTGAGTGACCTGAACCAGTGCACTATTCCCTCAGTGCGCATACAGTACATAGCTTCTTGGTTTCCAACACACTTGTCTGTCTGTTACGATAGCTGTCGGTGCCCGCTCAGCATAAGCTTGGACTATCTGACTAGTGCACAGAGGCCAGGGAAAAAAAAAATTGTGATGGACAGCCCGAAAAATACTGCAAGTGTAAAGTACCCTGCAAGAAGTCTCTCTTCTGAGCCAGTCTTGGCATTGGCACAGCCTGGCTCTTTACGCACCTGCTGACACGTAAGTGCCAAGATATGAAGAGCTGAACAGCAGGCAAAATGGAAGCAAAGTATCTCCTTCTCTGTAGGCTTCCTAGAAGTCACGTATTATCACAGCGGGTCTCTGAGAACCTGCTAAGACCAACTGGGACATAAAAATATACTCTCAGGCATGTGAAGACCAAAACTGATAATGCATTTTTCCAAGGAAGTCTTACAGCAAGAAAAATCACCCAGGAATAGGGTGAACCTTGTTACACTGAATACAGGAACGCTGACATCTTTTGAGTTGTGATTTTTGTGTGGATCAGAATAAAACAATCGCCTTTGCCAAGGAGGTAAAGATAAGAAAAGTGGGCACGTGCCATCTGTCCCTTAACCGAAGTCAGCCAAGGGATGGAAGGGGATCAGCCTAGCTGGTTGCAACCATCTGGAGCTACAGACGGCAAACGCTGCTTAGCAAAGCACTGTCCCAAGGCAGACATAAGGTAAAGGAAGCGAGCAAAACCCAAGGTGTTACAGAACTAAACCATCCTGGAGGATGACCCACCATGAGACTAATACGATGCTCTGGGGAAGATCCCTCCCAGTGTCTGAATGGTTCAACTTACTGTTAGTTCATTTGGATAAAATGAACTATAAAAATCAACTATTTCACTATGAACCAAAATGAACTACAAAAAGGAACTATTTGGATAAAAAGAACTGTAATGAGGACTTGCTACTTAGCTACCTTGTCTGCTTCTATATTTGTTTACTTTGATTAATGAGCAAGTGTTGGTCTGGTATTTCTACATCACTTCCACTACACTTTGGTACTGGTAGACTTTCACTTGGGCTGAGCTTTGTCAAGATCACCCATGGTCATGCAGTGTCAGACCCCAATACAACTAAGCTACTTCTTTACACCGCCTATGTGAGGCTCAATCAGAATCGCAGCTCTTAGGCTCGTCCTGCCTTCCCTGTGGCCCAATTTGTCACTACGGCAGAGACAGTCATGGCACTGCCCTCACATGCCTGGCTGAACGGGCTGCTCATAGGCAGCAGATATATTTCAGGGAGCCCAATACTTTTATTTTCTTTTGTTCCCAAGGCAAAATGGCCCAAATGCCACCCTTCCATTTCCTCTTCAGATGAACTCAAGTCCTGGAATTCCAAGGAAGAAAACAGGCACCAGCAATTGCTTTTACACTTCTTTGCAAAGGAGCCTCCTAAGATTGCCAGCTTTCCAAAGACAGTGATTCCTTGGTTAAACATACAGTTAAGCAACAGAGAGAAAAACAGAGGAGTCCCTTGTTTGCTACTCATCCTGTCTAGGGTCATTACAGATCAAAGCGGGCCTCAAATTTGCAAGTACACCTTGGAAACTGAAAATACAAAGTAACTCACCTGTGGCAGGAATCTAACAGTACTGCAAATCAAATACACAGCAGCAGGCAAAAAAGAAAGACTGAAAACTAAACTGTCTTAAAGAAATATTCCTTGAATTTTTGTCCTCCATCTTTGAAGCTTCAGAGGACATGAGAAGAGCATGTGGCACTACCAAGGAAACAAATTTAAAGGACAAGTTGGGAAATGGTTGGTGATTCAAAAGGGAAAACAAGTGGCTTTACCAAAATGGCACAAATTGTAGCAAAGAGAAACTAACAGAGGAAACCCAGTGAAAACAATTGCATAATTTGCAGTTTTATAGGAGACCAAATAAGAAATGTCATGCAAATGAAGAACAAACCCAGTAGAAATTTATTTTTCCTGCACTATGTGTTTTTGGTTTTGGCTGGGCTGCACAGTTCAGTTCACTCACTTCCTGGATGGCTTCATGACAAAATTAAAAAAAAAATCCCAACCTTTTGACCTTGTCAAAATTTCTTCCAAGTACAGTTAAAGGCAAGCTATCTGGCTACCTCCCAAGAGCTCAGCAGTTAACTATGAGTATAAATTTATTGTTTGTGAGCCTCTTTGTGGGTTAAAGGCATTACATATAGAAGCAAAGTGTTATTAAAGGCAGACCACAGCAAGCACAAATTGGCATGGTACTGGCTTTAGGCGGGATCCAGTGCTAGCACAGCATCTCACAAAATGAATTTGAAAAGGGCCAATGAAGGAAATGACAAGGAGCGAGAAATGAAAATTAGGGAAGACTCCCCTTGGAGAACGGAGTTCAGGAGGCAATTGCACCACTGCTTGGTCACGTGCCCATCACTAGCCACCACGCTGGCACAGATGAGGGCAGAATTCAGAAAAGAGAGATTTTGACGTGGTTGAGTCAGTTACGGAAATAAAAGCATATTTAGTTTGGCCAAATAATGAGGTTAAGTAGGAGACTGCAGCAAATGCCTACACATCTTCTCTTGGGATAAGATCCCAGATCAGTATTTATTATTGATGATCTACAGAAGGATGATCAGCTTTCTTTTTGACTGTACCAGTACAGTGAAACAAGACATAAGAAAGCATGCCTGGCTTTTCTCTTAGGTATCACAGGTTTTTAAAAACATAAAAGTATAATATAAAGAATATGAGATCATTCCAGCCAGTTGAGTCTCAGACATGAACAGAGCTATTTGTGTTTACACAAACACTAATTAACCACAGCAACTCAGCAACTTTATGACCAAAAAAATTGAAAAAAGTAGAGATAGTCTAAACCACTTGTGTAGTCTTGGACTTTTAAGTGGGTCTCATGTGTCTCTTGCAGTGTAAATTACTCCCAGTATAAATCTCCTTTACACTGATAAAGGGGAGGTAACTGCAACCAGGACAAGTGAGAATTGGTAAGGAACTTCTAAAATGCCTGTGCAAGCATTTTTCTTCAGCAGATGCTTCACGATATCTTAGGCATTTGAACAGTATCCTAGGCTTATAATAAACTAGAAAAGGGCTAGGAATTTTGCCCACAGACTTTTTTTGTGGAATAAAGCTTTACTGCACAGAAAACTGGTCTGTTGATTTGGCTTCATTCTCAAGAGTCGTATAAATAAGAGCAACAATAGGTAAACAGTAGTCATTATGTCCTTCAAACAGATTCACATTTATTTCTGCATGCTCCTAAACAAAATGGTAGGTTGGCAATTCAGTTTTATCTGAGCCCCCAAAGATGCACAATGCATAACACAATGCTGGAGAGCTGTGATTTGCTGCAAAGATTTTGCAAGACTTGATTTGTTGCAAAGTCACCCAGAGAGACTGTTTGCCCTCGCGCTTTTTCTTTCATCACCTTTGGAAGGCGGGAGAAGGCTGGTGGTCAGACTTCCTAGGTGGTTTCTATGTCATACTTTTTTAGGAAGTACTAAAAATTAAATACTTCATTTTTTACATTTTTTCCCCACATTGTTGTTTGACTTTGGAATGGAAACCCCTTTTCTCATCTGTTTTTCAGAACAAGTCATCTCAAGGGCTTCAGTAAGCAGGAAACACAGAAAAAATGGGTTGAATTGCTCTTGAAAGCTTACAGTTACTGGACTTAAAAATGTTCCCCTAGTATTTGCATTATTCCCTAAACATGCCCTGTGTAAAACACTGAGCAATAGAAATAATTTAGATGTTAAGGTAACTGACAAATACTTAAGCATGACCGCTGCTGTTACACTAGAAACCCAAGGATTTTATTCACATCCGTCCAATTTTTATGGGTGAAGGTTCCCTTGTGTCGCTACTGGAAACCACTGAGGCGCTCCGAGGAGAGCTAGGTGGGCGAGTCTCAAAGTAAGAAAGTCTGCATTTGAACTTTTGTTCTTTTTGTTTGGTTGGTTTTTTAATGAGGAAGCAGTTGAGAGAATACGAGAAACAAGGGAACTTTAACATTTTTTCTGCAGACACTCTGGTGTTTAATAACTTCCTTCTAACAAGCACCTCCGGCATACCAAAATTTCACTGGGTATTTTCTTACACATAAATAGCTCTTTGGAGAACAAAGCCAGCATAAGACATTTGCTGCTTTCAGGCCCTGAACTTACCCTATCGGTAATCCCACGGAAGAAGAGCACTCAGTGACTAGCAGTCTCTCAGGCACCAGCCAAGGCTTTGCCAAGTGGTACCTGCCCTGCGCTGCTGGAGGGGATTAGGTTTCAGGAAGGAGTCAGACCAGTGTTACACTACAAAGTGCTGCTGTTTGTCTCCCAGTAGCCAGAAGAAGAAAAAACAATGAAACAAGCTTTTTAGGCTTTCTCTGTAAGATGTAAAGTGAAATAACAGGTGGTCATCAATTGCTCCCCCTCACCACCGAAAGGTCACCTCTGGAAATGGAGAGCATCTGTCCAACAAACATAGGCATTTCTTACTATTTTCTGGATATCTCCTTTTTTTTGATTAAGATATAAGTTGTTTCTGTATGAAACTCTTGGGAAAGTATCTAGCTCCAGGCATGCAACACCACTCTTCGGAACTGCTAACTTGTAAATGTTGCAGTGGCACTTCAGCGCAGACAACAGCTAGCTGGGATTCCTCCCTTACTGGCAGCAAGAGAAACAACACCTGAAAGAAATGTGCGGAATGGCCATGACAAAGCCAAGCTGAAATTCTCCAAGATCTTGATGTTTCAAGGCCAGGAACACTGCAGCAGTAGAGAAGCACGTACACAACAGCACGGAGCTAAAACAGCAGCAGGAGAGAATCCCTGAGAGAGCCAAGGAGGGTGCACTTTTAATGCATGTAAAGGTTTACACTTCTAGATTGAAAAAGGCACTTAAAATCTTTAAATAAGGACAAATAATATGATGTTGTTGTTCTTCGCTTCTACTGTCAACACAGTAGGAGAAGCATCTGTTGCTCATCACAATCACAACTACTTCTAATTCCCAATTTCCCTTAAAATACAAATGGAACATAAAATTCTCTGCATCCATAAAATACATATTTGCAAGCCCGTTTATGCACATTTTTTTTTTAAAAACTCTATAGCTGATCCAGTTTCTTCTACCATGGCTGCAGAACTGCAGTCTGTTCCTCCAACATGAATTGTGGCAGCTCCCAAGAGGCAGGCCAGCAAGCACCGTAGGGCAGAGCTACCAGCTGGATTTTTATAAAAGAAATACCTGTACAGTGTTTCACATCTGCTTCTTACCTTCTAACTTTGCAAAAGCATTCTGTACTTCTTCACATATTGTGAAAACCCACTTCACAGGAGTGGTGAAATCACATTCTAATGAAACATCTCTGAATGTATCAATTTATAAATGATAGGTTGATACGTTAACTGCTGTTAACTGACAGCAAGTGAGGAGCTCTTGTGAAACAGTAAAACTTCAGAAACCTCACACAGTTTCCTAGTAGCAGTACCATGAAAAAAATACATGCTTCTAGTGATTTTAGTTTGAACTACTGTATACTGAAATAAAAATTTAATTAAAGGTTGATACTGAATTACATTAAAAGCAACAAGTTAATGAAAGGTTCACACTTTTTTTTATGCAACTTAAACTTAGAACTAGACTGACATAGATCACACTTCCACATAAAAACCTGTGAAATTCTAGATTTTTAGCTGCTTTCACTGTGTAGCATGAGACACATAAAGACACTCAACAACTTGTGCCATTTAAAGTGATGCACAGAGTCCCAGTGAAGCAGCACCTGATGCAAAGAACAGGGTTTTGTTTTTTTTGTTTTGAAAGAGACATTTAAAACTCTTCTTCCATACCTTTTGGATGCTTTTTTACATTACTGATAAGATCCTTCTTTTCCAACCTTATTTCTTCTCTCAGCTCTAAATCACTCATGGGATTAGCAGGAAGCAACCTGGACTTTCACTTCCCTTCCTGCTCATGACAAAACAGCCTATGGCCTGGACTCCAGTCAGGTCATCATGTGGGAAACAAGCCACAGGCAGCACTTTCACTATTCTTGACAATGACACACAGTGTCCAAACTGACTCTCAGGATGCTGCTGGTACAATTAAAATTTGAAATTACTTGTACAATCAAATTCCCAGTGAAAAGTACTTTTTTTTTTAATGAACCAAATACAATTTCAGCAACATCAGTGATCCCTTACACCTGTGAAAAAAAACAAGAGTAGTAAAGACATCTCTACCATTTTTCCCTTTTTGCATAGTCTTTTGAGCAGGGGTACGAAAGTCTTTCATCCAGAAAACAGTCAATAAATAACACCGTTCACCCAGTTTGTAAAGACGTGCAGATTACCACCATACTTACCACTCCAACAGGGAAAGCTAGAACAGCCATCATCCAGTCACGGAGGGAAATGAGTTTTTTCAGCTGCCTCTCTTGCTCTTGACTGTCATTTCCTTTAGTGAGAAGACTGGACAGGTCAGTCAAGACGCAGATTCCGAAGAAGACTGCCTGGATAACCTGAATGGAAGGGGAGGGAACACACTGTGAACACAAGAGAAGACCAGAACTTTGGCAGGCAGCAGGCTGGACACAGGCACGCATAAGGAATATTGCCACAGAATCAATGTGAGAAGTGGGAAAACATCAGTCCCTTAAACATGGGTAGAGTTTGTTCACATAATATGCGAACATACATGGGAATATATGTTCACATATATGGGAATATACAGGAAGAGTCAACAGGTCAATTCATGGCTCTGGGACTGGTGTCGTCGACAGGGCTTTGGATTTTACAACCACAGTTTGGTATACAAGGTACCAGAGCTGCGAGCAGCTAATGGGATGCACTTGTCCCAGAGGGGGAAAAGGATCCTGGGGCAGGAGTTGGCAGGGCTCATTGACAGGGCTCTAAACTAGATTTGAAGGCAGAAGGTGTCAATAATTTCATGCTTGCCTGTGACAGTGGGGCAGCACATTAGGGCCAGAGGGATGGAGTCCTAGTATGTGCTCTCAGCTTGTTGCCCTGAGGCAAACCGGGGACGATGCACCAGGACACCCCAAGGGAATCAAGGGTAATTTGCAAAAGAGGGTGACACAGCCAGACCACCTGAAGTGCCTCTACGCGAATGCACACAGCTTGGGCAATAAACAGGATGAATTAAGGGCCACTGAGCTGCTGGAAAGCCATGGTACAGGGGCTAAAACTGAAACTTGGTGGGATGATTCCCATGACTGGAATGTAAGGATAGACGGATACAAGTTGTTTAGGAAGGACAGGCAGGGTAGGAGGGGAGGAGGAGGTACCATCTACATCAGTGACAGCTAGAATTGATGGAGCTCCATATGAGGAAGGACGATGAGCTGGTTGAGAGTGTACAGGTTAAGATTAAAGGGGAGATGGGGAAGGTGATGTTACAGTAGGGGTCTGCTACAGGCCACCTGACCAGCAGAGCCAAGCAGATGAGGCCTCCATAGGCAGACAGAAGTGGCTTCACATTCACAGGCCCTGGTCCTTGTGAGGGATTTCAACCACCCTGACATCTGCTGGAGGGACAGCACAGCAAGCCGTCAGCAATCCAAGATGTTCCTGGAATGCATTGATGACAACTTCCTCCTCCAAATGGAGGAACCAACAAGAAAAGGTGCTATGCTGGACCTTGTTCTCACCAACAGGGAAGGGCTGGTGAGCAACGCGAGGCTCAGTGATAGCCTTGGCTGCCCGTGAAGTGACAGAAGTCAAGATCCTCAGGGCAACTAGGAGGGTGTATTCCAGGCTTACGACCCTGTACTTAAGGCACGAAGACTTTGATTGCTTCAGGGATCTGCTGGCCAAAGAGCCATGGGACAAAGCCCTAGAGGGAAGAGAGGCCCAGGACAGCTGGTCAGTATTCAGGGATCACCTCCTCCGTGCCCAGGAGCAAAGTATACCGACAAAAAGGAAGGCAGGAAAGAACGCTAGGAGACCTGCCTGGATGAGCAAGGAGCTCCTGGACACACTGTCACACAAAAAGAAACTCCACAAGGAGTGGAAGATGGGATGGCTAGAATGGGGGGCATATAAGGAAGCTGCCCAAGCAGCAAGAGATCTGGTTAGAAAAGCTAAAGCTCAGTCAGAATTAAATCTAGCCACGGAGAACAAGGGAAACAGAAAAAGTTTCTACAGGTATATTAATGGTAAGAAGACTAGGGAAGGTCTAGGCTCCCTCAGAAAGGAAATCGGTGAACTGGTGACAAGTGATCTGGAGAAGGCCGAGGTTCTCAACGACTTCTTTTACTCTGTCTTCACTGGCAAGGGCTCCAGCCACACTCCCAAAGTCACAGAAGACAATGACAGAGGTTGTATGAAAGAACTGCCCATAGTAACCGAAGATCAGGTTCGTGACCATCTGATGAACCTGAAAGTGTGCAAGTCCATGGTACCTGATGGGATACACCCATGGGTACTGAGGGAACTGGCGGATGAGGCTGCTAAACCCCTCTCTATTATATTCCAAAACTCACAGCAGTCCATTGAAGCCCCCACTGAATGGAAAAGGGGAAATATAATCCCCATTTTCAAAAAGGGAAAGAAGGATGAACCAGGGAACTATAGGCCAGTCAGTCTCACCTCCGTGCCTGGTAAGATTATGGAGCAGATCCTCCCGGAGGCACTGCTGAGGCAGAAGAATAATGAAGAGGTGATTGGGTACAGTCAGCATGGCTTCACCAAGGGCAAATCGTGCCTGACAAACCTGGTGGCCTTCTATGAGAAAGCATCAATAGACAAGGGACAACTGATGACATTTACTTGGATCTGAGCAAAGCCTTTGAAACTGTCCTGCCTGACATCCTGGTCTCCGAGCTGATAAAATACAGGATTGATGGATGGACAATTCAGTGGATAAAGAACTGGCTTGACAACTGCACCCAAAGAGTGGCTGTCAACAGGTCCATGTCCAAGTGGAAGCCAGTTACAAGTGGAGTCCCTCAAGGACCAGTATTGGGACCAGTCTTGTTTAACATCTTCATCAGCGACATGGACAGTGGCACTGAGTGCACCCTCAGCAGGTTTGTTGATGACACCAAGCTGTGTGGGGCGGCTGACATGCTGGAGGGAAGGGATGCCATCCAGAGGGAACTTGACAGGCTGGAGAAGTGGGCCCAGGCCAACTTCATGAAGTTCAACAAGACCAAGTCCAAGGTCCTCCATCTGGGTTGAGGCAATCCCAAGGACCGATATAGGCTGGGCAGTGACTGGCTTGAGAGCAGCCCTGAAGAAAAGGACTTGGGGGTACTGGTGGATGAGCTGTCAATGTGCACTTGCAGCCCAGAAAGCCAATCGTGTCCTGGGCTGCATCAAGAGGTGCATGGCCAGCAGGTCAAGGGAGGTGATTCTTCCCCTCTACTCCACTCTCATGAGATCCCACCAAGAGTGCTGAGTCCAGTTCTGGAGCCCACAGCACAAGAAATATATGGACGTGCTGGAACGTATCCAGAGAAGGGCCATGAGGATGATCAGAGGGCTGGAGCACCTCTCCTATGAAGACAGACTGAGAGAGTTGGTTGGGGTTGTTCATTCTGGAGAAAAGAAGGCTCTGAGGAGACCTTATTGTGGCCTTCCAGTATCTTAAGGAAGCCTACAAGAAAGCTGGTGAGGGATATCTTAGGATGTCAGGTAGTGATTGGACTAGAGAGAATTGATTAAAACTAGAGATGGGTTGATTCAGATTGGACATTAGGAAGAAGTTCTTCCCCATGAGGGTGGTGAGACACTGGCACAGATTGCCCAGAGAGGGGCTGGGAGCCCCATCCCTGGAAGTTTTTAAGGCCAGGCTGGATGGGGCTCTGAGCAACCTGATCTAGTGAGAGATGTCCCTGCCCACGGCATGGGGGTCGGAACTAGATGATCTTTAAGGTCCCTTCCAATCTTGACAATTCTATCATTCTATGATAAAAGCCACTGAAAGCCCCACAAGCACCTTGTTCCTCATGTGTGTGGGTAATCAATGTGAGAGGAAGGACCGTTTCAGAGGTGGGACCTCCCACCCTCACCTCAGACATGTCCCACCAACCGGGGACTAAAGCGCAGCCACCCTTCACTCAGTGCAACTTTCTCCCAAAGCCACGGCATTCACTTCTGACGCACAAAAAGTGAGGACTGCTCCCTATAAAAAGAAAGGAAAGAAAACAGACAAGTTGTTCTTCCCATTGTGCGAGGAGGTCTCCCTTGGAGACCCTGCTTGCCCCACACACTCTACTGAGAGGTGAAGAACATGCCTGAGACTGAGAGACGCAGCACACGGCCTGGGCTTCAGCAAATCTGCCACTACTTCATCTCAGGTATGAAAAGACAGAAGGAGCAAGCCACAGGAATTTTTCAAGCTTTCTTTTCGAGATGGCATACTGCCATTTACCTGCCTTTTCCCTTTTTGCATTTATGTATTTGTATGCAATATTGCAAGATTACCTGTTCTATTAAACGGGTAGTCTAATCACCTCAACCCACTGATTTGGTTCAAACTTGACTCAATCTTAGTTTGATCACTGCATTTTTCTTCCATAATTAGCTTAGCAAAATTGTAACAAGTTAGCTCAGGAACGCTCTTGCCTGAGGACCTGCGCATCCTTTTCTAGCACAGTTCAGAGGAAGTGCACACAGCTTGTTTACTCCCCAACCTGGAATCCTGGGTCACAAACCCACACATATCAGGTAATCTCAGGTAAAAAAATAAACATAACGCAGGCTCTGTTCCCAATTTGAACGGTGATTCATCAAAGACCATAAACATATGCTTAAAACCTATACTACACTGACGGCACGTGCAGGTCAGAACGGGATAGCTATTACGCTGGTGACACAGTACGACATCCAGCTCGTACACGCTATCGAGGAGGAAATCAAACTGCAGCTACAGGAGTTCTCTGTGAAGGAGCAGTCAATGCTTGACATCTTCACCCAAGTGAATGTCACCAGGAGGGAATGTGAAATAAAACTCGAAGGAATGGATTTTGATGAGAAGAAAGAAATAAATAAGCAGAAACACTTCATGCAAGCATGAAGTACTACTTTAGAAGACTTATTTGTAAATATAAGCATTCCTTCTGACTGCAAGTGTCTGAATAGGTATCTTTTGGTCATCCATAAGAAATAACAATAGCACATATCCAAATTTGCAAAATACGATTTATTATGTGCATGTATCTTTGCAGAATTTAGACTATATAAGTAATACAAAATACCACCTTAGGCTAGAGGACATTGATCTGGAATATGGTAGGGAAGGGAAGGAAGAAGGGAGGCAGGAAGGCAGGAAATACCAAACAGATGTTGGCTACTAGGAAGAAATCCAGAGATGTGTAATGGTTGGATTAACTAATTGGGTATTAGGAAAAAATTCTTTACTGAAAGAGTGGTGAGGCATTGGAACAGGCTCCCAGGGAAGTGGTGGAGTCACCATCCCTAGAGGTGTTCGAAACAGGCGTAGACGTGGAACTTCGGGACATGATTTAACAGTCATGGTAGTGTTCGGTTGACAGTTGGACTTGATGATCTTAGAGGTCTTTTCTAACCTTAATGATTCAATGAATTAAAGTGCGTTCCTGTCCTCAACAATCCTTATATGACCCAAAGACTTGTGTTCAGGCTGTAAAGCTGTGAACAACAGACACACAAATGGCCCCTGGATCTGCTTGCAATTCTGCTGTCATTGCTTTTCCCTCTCCAGGCTGTTGCTACGTTTAATTTGCTTGATAAATAGATGAAGCAATATTACAAAACATTCCCTGAAGTCATGAAATGTGACAGACTACTAGTGCTAGAGCTAGAATATAGTATATTGCGTATATTGTCCTAGAAAAAGGTATTACTACTTAAAAAAACTGCCTGAAAAAGTTACCATCTTAATGTAATTTCTGAAAAACGTTTTATATAAGAGTTGGGGCCCCCTGGAGCTACATAATCACACGATCTCCTAATGTACTTTTTCATATTATTTGTTTGAAACAGGCACATAGTAGAAAAAAATCTTCCCATACTCGGCCATTTTCCACCGAACAGATGGCCTATTTGGAGAGAAGGAATGGAAGAACTAATTACGCGTTTGCTTGACTTATGAGGAGATATGATACCATCTACCATTCACTCAGGAGTGTGAATGCCAGAGAAGGAAAAAGACTTAAGACAGGACTGGAAAAAAAAGTATACCTAACTGTAATGAGATCAATCTGGGTGTTAAAAAGTTTAGGCTGAGTACCAGGAAATATTTCCTAACAGTGAGCTCCGTCAGACCATGAAATAGTTTCTCAGAGGAAGTGGTGGAAGCCTCATGGCTTGAGTCACTCAAACCAATATTGGACAAAACACTCAATAATATACTGCAGGGAACAGTATTACGCTGGCAGGGCTTGGACAAGTGACTAATGGATTGTTTGCAGCTCTAACTACAATTCCCTGAAATGGTCTCTCTCCAAAGAAACAGACTCAAACAATCACACGCCCACTTTCCAAGGGAGTTGAGATTGTACATCCACTAATCAATCACAAGCCGAACAGCTTCTCTCCCCATTATCCTGTTATGAACACACCACTTCAAGGGAAAATATAATGATATCATCGGGACTAACTGACAACTCCTAAAGGGAAAGAAAGTACCCAAAGATTTCAGAGAGTAGGTATGAAATAAACTATTCTACAAAAAGATTAACAAATAAAAATCCATATAGGAAAGAGAAAATTACCTATTTATTGAGAACATTCGGAGCCAATGGAAAAATCATATAGTGTTCAGGAAGGAACAGTTCCAGCTTATTCATACAAATAATGTACATATATTTGTTCTAATACTTCCTTTGCTTTCTAGAATGTGTAAGAAAACTCTTCTGACACCTATCAACATTTAGGATTAGACTGAAGACCTCCAGAGCTGCACGAGTCTCAGCAGCATAAACTGAACCGCCAGAGTCAGTAATGATTTACATCCTTTGTGGGTACGGAATAGGAAAAGCACAGCATGCAGCCACTGGTGCTTTATGGTATGAAGGGAATTTTCAAAGTTCATGCTCCTCGGTGTGAACGCTGCCTAACAGATGCAAGAAGTTCACAGCAAGGCAGTAGAAATTCCCTCTAAACAATACTCTCTGAAGTGCCCTGGCGTTACCTCAGATGTATGATCACAATTTTCAAAGAAAGGTCCTTGTTTTGAAGTCTGCAGGTGCTGAATCTATACATGAAACATGCTTAAGATGTTCAACAAACATTTTACTTCTTTTTTTTTCCCTTGGAAATATAAGCAATAACAGCATTTTAGAGGAAAGATCTTCCAATTTTGCCTCTAACTAGAGTTAGAAGGAAAACATTGCTTTAGAAAATGAGAAATACAAATTTGACAGAAAATCGCCTCCCCATAGCATGTAATAGCGATAGAAGCAGAAACTTCTAAGCAGAGTAAGCAAAACCAAGAAAATTATTAAAAGGGGTATAAAATACTAACTTACTGCTGACCCCATTTTCTCCACTGAAACCTAGAGGGGCAACTGCTACTACAGTCGATACTACCGTACCCTTAAGCTGAGATAATGGAAATGGCCATCTGCAGGTATTTTAGTAATGCAAAACTCTGAGCGAGGACAACACTCATTAGGTCGCTGCAGGAGAAAGCAGTTATGAACAGAAGATGAAACCAAGCACTCAGAAACCTTCTCAAAGCAGTGAAATCTGTTCAGATTATGTATCAGAAAAAATTGTTCCTTATGAATGATTCAAATAAAGTAAACTGACTGTACATGCCTGTCTCCTACAAGAAAAAAAGACTTGCTTTGGTGGACAGTTTTTCCACAAGGTGCTCACTGCAGGATAGCAGCTAACGATCTCCCTGTATTCTCCCTGATCTGACTTCTTAGATAGAGAATAGTATTTTTTCGTAAATCCTTCTTCAGGGTATGGAGACTCCTCCCCTGTGCCATTGGGCTTTACAGTGCAGACAAAATCTCTGCACAACTGAGGGCAATGGAAATTCTGTCACTGCTCTTACCAAGGCAGAAAACTCCCATTAAATTCACTGAATCTAGGATTTCATTGCCTGTGGACTCATCCTCTTTCAAGCTAACTCCTGTAATAAACATTCCTTAGAGCTCAGGTCAGAAGAACTGGAAAAGTCTGTGCAAGCACTACTGTTCTTCATGGGTATTTTTCACTCTATCTGCTTTTGAAAATGAAGAATTCACTGTCCTCAAGTTATAATTTTTGAGATTTACAAATTAATTCATGGACTCCTCTAAGAAATAAGGCATTTGAGTAGGCTGGCAAGTAGACAGCACTGCCAGAACAAAATACAGGAATAATATTCATGGAATCAGCAAGAAATAACAAAAAAGCATGGGAAATTAAGTAGCTTTTATACATTACAAAGTGCCATGTTTGCACATGAAGTCTATGTCCATGTGTACATGTATTAGGTCCCTGTACCCCACTTACTAGGTAAGCTTCCACTGTTCAAAGGTAAGACCATATTTAAGAAACAGACTTATGACTGCAAACATAACCCCTATTATAGGAAAAGTAATTCACACTAGGGTGTCAGGGCTGATTCCCGGGAGCTGAGAGTGGCAGGAGGACAGCCAGAGTCCATCCCATCCCCGGCCAGGAGCGAGGCAGCCAGGGTCAGCAGGGCAGTCCCAGCCTCAAGCATCGGGCACCTCCCGATGGGGATGGGGATGGGTGGGGAGCAAATACAACTTCACTCATCAAAGCTACACTCACACTTAAGAAAAGCTGTGGCTTTCTACAGTAACATGAAAGTTTCACTCTACCAGCATGCAAAACTAAATGGCTGAAAATTGCAATTTCTTGTGTATTTCAGATTTTACAATCTACCATACGCAGAACTTGATCTGATTTTCCTTTTCAAGCAGCA